GTAATGATTATTTTTGCAGGTAAAAGTTTCCATGTGTGTGTCTATGTTTGCTACAATACCTACAAAAACATAATTCCAGTTTAATGTGGTATTATCCATTAAATTTCAAATAAAGATTGTTGTTTCAAATTCTTCTTCATCTATTTTTTTGTATTTTATGTGTTCATTGTGTGTATATTAAAACACACAAATGAATGTTTTCATACATATTTTTTTTAGCAATAAAACATGTGTTTTTATGGATATTGTACACAAAAAGGTACATTTTAGCAACGATTTAAAAATAAATAGTGTCAACTTTGTAATGAAAGTTGAAATGCAAGGATTGTTGTATGTATTACTAACATATACACAGTAATACGTACAAGATTTACAGACAGATCTTTCCAATATGATTCCATACAGACCCACAACTCTACCAATTTCCCATGATTTTTGACTTATTTCTCTGTCCTTTCGCCTTGTCCCCGCAGCTCTGTAATCAGTAATAATATGTGTCTAAACGCACACTTTTATTTGACTTATTCTGGCGGCAAAGACGTGTACTTGGGAGAGGCAGCAGCCAAATGAACAGGGAGTATCGTGTCTGAAGTTGTCTGAGGCTTTGCAGCGTGTTTGATGGGGAAAGACTGCCCCCTACTGTCCATAACAGAGCGCTGCAGCCACTGTGGAGAGCATGAAGCAGAGGGAAATTATCTGAGAAGTGTTTTAACGAGAATATAGGTAACTTGTAAATATAACTCAACCACATAGCATGTTTATCGAATGTAAATCATTTCTAACGCTAATCTAGCAAGCAGCAGAAATGAGGAGGGTTTGTGTATCTGTGGGTGAAATGTAATGCCCTTCGTGTCACATCAGGGGGCCCGGTGGCTGAGTGGTTAGCACTTTTTCTTCTCAGCAAGAAGGTCCAGGGTTTGATTCCATCTCCATGCCTTTTCGAGTTTGTAAATTTCTCCTGTGAGAGATCAATAAAGTTTATCTTATCTTATCTTATGACCCACCGTGTCAGTGTAGGTTTCCTCGGGGTGCTTCGATTTCTCCTACAAAATCGAAGCACCCCTGTATTCTCTGCAGAGGACAAAATAAAGTGTACCTTGACCTTAGTCTTGAATATTATACATATCAGAATATATACCGACTCTTGATGCAGAAAATACAGTCTTTTAAATGGATGATGTATTTGAACTTGTGTTTATGATCTCAATGGCTGATGTTTTAGTACAGATTGCGATTTAGAGCTGTAAAATTAAGTATAACATGCCTTACAAACAATTTGTGAAATCTCAGCCAATTCCTAAAGTGCAATACATATCAGAAAATTGTTTACATTTTGATGCAGTGAGAGTAAGATAAATGAATGCTTGATCTAAAGTAAATAAAACATTATTTCTATACATAATTTAAAATGGCTGAAATGTTGGCTAAACACCTATATCATTAGTATTAGTATTATTATTATTATTATCATTTATTCTCTAGATTCTATAAATGTGTTAAATTGCACAGAACACAACAAAATATTATAAAGTTATCATTATTGAATGCTAAATAACTAAATGTATGCATGTATTTGAATTATGTTCATGGGGTGGCGGTCAACACGTTTTTACTTCCCACTCTATTTCTAGATGACAATTTGAAAACTGTAAAATAAAATTGTAAATATACAACACATGGTGAAACTAGTGCAGATAATGTTGCATGATTGTTTATTTTTGTTTATATATTTGCATGTGTATTCTGTAAGTGCAGTAGGGAAGATGTACAACAGCTCATGTAAACTAAGAAATGTAATTATTGTAAATACTTCCCATCGTGTTTTTTAACTGAAAATGGCTGATAAACAGAATCTTAACATGACCGCTACTTAAAAGATTATAAAGAAAACATTTTTTATACACATGTATTTTTGGCATAACATTTTTAGATATCATTTTTTAGACATAAAGTAAAACATGAATGAGACTAACTCAGCCAATCAGCCTTCAGTCCAATCCAACAGTGACTCTAATAAGATTAAGACAAAAGGTTGTGATCCTTTTACTCTTTCTATTGGGGGAAAAGTCTCATAAATAAGGCTAAAGATACTTGCCCTGTCCTGGTTTTTTGTTTAGTTTTTACTTAACGTGACATAATCCTAGTCTTTGTCATGATGCATATGTTTGTTCAGTAAAATTGTGATTTATCTTGCTGCCTTAACACGTCACTCTTGAAGCAGCATTTTGATCGATGTCTTTTGTCCCCACACGATTGTGATACTTTCATTCCATATGATCTGGTGACGCCATATTCGCTGACCTTCTTTGGCTTCCAGTTAGACAGAGGGGAAGTTTCTCTCCTTTATTTCCTTTGCCCTACGACGTCTGTCTGACCTGTTCCTCAGATCCGCTGATCAGCCGCTGCGTGTGTCCCAGTCCAAGCACACTGCAAAACAATCATAAAATATTAGTATTAAATGGATTCATTATGATGAAAAAAATACTTGAATGATGTAAAAAAGTTGCAAAAGAGAACTTTAAAAAAACTTTCCATGAATGTCCTCTCATTCTATGAAATAAACATATTATTCACATCAATATCCACTATAGGGAATTATATTTAAAAACCTGTAAAAATGTCCCTATGGGACAAATCCGGCCCACAAGACCATTTTAGTGGCCCCTGAAATTATTTTCAGTTATCATTACTATTACAGTAACTTGCAGCCTTGATGGTAATGGAAGACTGTGGCATGTTATACTTCATTTTAAAGCTTAATTTCTGTCCTAAAATTTGAAATAATAAATTAATTTTTAACTAATTATATGTTCAGTTAGGACAAAGATATGTTTCTTATAGTTCACTATCAGTCTTCAATTACCTTTCTTCTTGATATTTGGCACAATTGTGGTTCCAAACTACCAGAAAATAATATACAAACTCATGTCAAATAAAGAAAATTCATCAAAATACAAAAATATGCAAAAAGATATAATGATGATTAAAGAAAAATTAGTTTATACTTTTGGCCCCAACTAGCTCTTACCTTTTTTAATTTGGCCATACATCAATAAAACCCAATGGGGAAGTGCTCATAGACAACGTTTTAGGATCCTTTATTCTTCCCACATTGGAGAAATGTCAGTGTTGCAGACAGGAGCACATGACACAAGATAAATTAATCATAACTCTATACTAAAATTAAATACAATCTTACTTTAGCATAAAAAGAAGCAGTAAAAACCTCAATCTTTAGCATAATAAGGAAAGACTTCAAAAATCTCCAACAAAATATCTTACTTTAGAATAATAAAGAAGCAAGTACAAAATACTGTATATTCTAGTGCAAGTACTATACAGCTGTGTGTATACAGCTGTACATGTCAGAAGCATCAGGATCTGGGACAACATGACAAAATGTACTATTTTTATTTTTTACTATTTATTTTTTAAATGATTGTGTTAAAATCAAAAGCTAAACTTCAATGTATACTGATTCCTTTTTTTTTCAATAAAGAATGAACTCAGCAAAAATCTTACATTAACACGAGCACAATATTTTGATGTGTGGGAATCATGATAAAACACACCTCTGAGATCACACATTTCTTTTGAAGGCTCCTTTTTGACAATTTGTCCAACACGAGCCGGCTCTAATGGCACAACACTGCTCCCAAATGTGTTTGGTTAAGAGGTAACTGCAGAGAACAGCAGCCTCCCATTTCTTCACACATATACGCCCACAGAGAACAAAGCCAGAGAGAAGTGGCCGGCCTGGGGGACTCCAATTTACCTCCATCAATATCAGCACTACAATTACCACTGCAGGACGAAAGGATACAGCAAGAAATCGCAACAAATAAGTTCATGTTGGCTTGAATTAGGAGAAAAGTATCTTAAATGTGTGTATATTTGGTCTTGGTACTAAAGTTTGTGTTTTGTAAATCACACGTTGCTTGTTCCAGCAGATAGAGCCTTGTAAATGTAAAATGTTGAGCATATGCTGTCCTCAAAGCATCTTATGTGAGGTGCGCAGATGACTCAAGCTTTTATGAAGTTAAACAAAAAAACAGCAACCGGGCATTGACTGGATGTGTGGTCTGAGCTGAGCCTGCAGGCCCCTGGGTCTGAACACAGTAGGCCTGCATTGATGTCGCGCACAGGGTAAGTTAAGACAAGATAAGATAAGAGAACCTTTATTCGTCCCGCACTGGGGAAATGTTGAAGTTGTAGCGCACATACAGGACAGGAGTAATTCAATTTGGAGAGACGAGAAAACAAGAAGCTTTTGAGTATTTTATTGGGAGGAGGTTTGGCGCCCTAGGCCCCGGTGCGGCCTTCAGATCGGAGAGGCTCCTGCGATGGAGCGCGCCAATCCCCCGGGACCTAGGCACTGGTGGCGGCATTTGGCAGCGGTAAGCAGATTGAAGGCAGATTGGAGGCAGGGTGCAGAGGAGGAGGAGGGGAGGCGGTGGTTGCAAGGCTTCGGGAGGCAGTGAAGTGGGAGTTTCTCCGCTTTTAAGCGGCTGCCTGGCCGGTACGGTGATTGGAAGGGGGCGTTTGCTGTGCGATAGCTGGGGATGTGAACCGGCCTGGAGGGGGTGACTTTGGCTGACGTCTACCAAATTGAATTTCCGCGGGCTGCATGAGCCAATAGGGAGCAGGCAAAATATACGTATAAATGTATGTTTGTCTTGTCAGATTTAAATTAATTTAACATTTTAATAGACCACGTGATTGTTATGTTTGAAGATTCATTATCATTTTTGCTGTGAGAGGATGGACAATGACTAGTGTGTTTCACCAAATAATGTAATGTGAGCACAATATTGCATCAAAAAAGGTGCACATCAAGCCACGTTTTTGCTAATTCGGCCAAATATCCACTTATTTTTGTGCAGTTTCTCACTGGCTCTATAGTAACACCTTGTCCATGTGTGTAGCAACAACAATTTACGTGCAAGCATTCCCTCTCATCATCCGAACACAGTCTATAAACCACAGGGAGGCGCGGGCTAATGCGTCCCCACACGCTCTTCTTCATGGCAACAGCGGCGCAGACAGTGATGTCACCGCGGCCTGACGTGGTTTATAGTGGGACCCGCACGGTAGGGTCTTCAGCGCGGGAGTTATGGCCCCAGGACGGGACACTGAGTGGGGCGTCGTAAATCGTGCCGAACAGAGCAGTGTGCAGAAAAGTGGTGTGTGGACATGCATCACACTGGACCAGGGCGTGTTGTTGAGTGGTTTCAAGAAAACATAATATTTTGCTTTATTTATGTTCACGCCTTAAGCATGATCTTACACCTTAATGTCACACTTTCCATGTCTGCATGCACGCCGAGCTGGAGGCCTGCAGAAAACAATGCATTTAGAAATGCAACACTGTGTTTTTAATCAAGTTACCTTTTGTCCTTTGCTCTTTTTCTGATTGCCCACCCAGAATTCTTGGCTTTACACATCTGTCAATGCCACTTGAAACCATTTCAAAATTACAAATGCCATTTGAAAAACCATTTAAACTATTTGAAGTATGGTAACTTGAGCACTATCTTCTCCTACTTCCTACTTAAAGCTGCACTAACTGACTTTGGGATTTTGAAGCAGCAGACCCGCTGGCCTCTCTCTTTCTGCTCCCCTCCCCGCACCCACGAAGCTATCGCCCCCCACACACACCCACTGTTGGGACGAAGCTAGCGTCTCCCAATATGGATAATACATGGATATGGATTTGCACGTGGATGGCGTGACCATAGAACGATAGAACCGGGAAGCGCGGAGGAACGAGACTTTCTTTTGGATGGCTGTCTCGCTGTGTAAGCAGTATCCGGTGACAAAGAGACGAAGCTTCAGGTTAGCTCCTCGTCTTGTTGTGCTAACTCAGCCGTCTATGCTAACGGAGACCTGTAGATTTCTCACAAAAGTGGGGGCCAGTGGTCCGCGGTGATTGGTCACAATCTGCGACCCGAAACACATTCTCTTCCTTGTTTCATCAAAACTCGATCTAAAATATAATGTCATGCCATAACAAATTTGCGCTACTTTTTCGTCAAAAGGACGTATATCCCAATGCCCTACACGGACATGGATAGCATTTTCGTAATGAATACAAAAATAAAGTCAGTTAGTGCAGCTTTAATCTGTCATTATTATGACTTTGGCTATATTCTGTTCATTGATATTCACCCACTGTCCCATTGTCTGTTCCATGACGTGGTGATTGGACCCTGAACGTGGCCTTCTCCATCTGCACCTCCGTCTGTCCTCGTTTTGCAGCCTGAGTCTTGACCACGTGGTCTTGGTCCTCGTTCTACAGCCTGAGTCCTGGATCTACAGTATAGCCCGTGAATAAACTCTAAAACCCAGTGTGAAAAGGTGAGAAACCTCTGAGAGGTCCACATTAAGAGACGGATCCGCTACCACAGGTGGACGGTTGTTTGTCCTTGCTGATGCAGGAGGGTCTAACATTACATAAGGACAGTGGTGATGATCCAGGACGCTCAGCATTTTTCAGCATTTATGAACATTGGTTATCATTGCATTTCTTGTGTTTGAACTGTTTGATTCTCTGATCTGTGTTGGCCGATTCAACAGTTTGTTAAGTCTCAGAGATAACTTCTGTTGTAATTTGGGGCTCTATAATACATTGAATTGAATTGAACTATTGCAAACATGCGCAGAAGAGACCCACAGGTCTGACTCTTTTCACTGAGAGCTGATTGGTTGTTCAGGGTGGTTATTATGATGAGGGCACATATCCTCACACACCTAGTACATTGTGTTTGTGTTTCTTCAATCAATTCAAAAGTCAGGTACCCCAAGTGTAATCATTGTCGAGATGTATTTGTTTTATTCATGATGCAATTTATTTGATATTATTTTATTTAGTTTAGTCTAGAGCAGGGGTCTCAAACCATTTCCAGAAAGGGCCATGTGGCTGCAGGTTTTACTTCCAATAGTTCCAAACTGAGCAGGAGCACATGTGACTCCACCCATTTCCTCAGGTGAGTCCAGTTTTAACCTGAAGATTTGAGGAAATGGGTGGAGTCATCTGTGCTCCTGCTCAGTTTGGAACGGTTGGAAGTCAAACCTGCAGCCACATGGCCCTTTCTGGAACCGGTTTGAGACCCCTGCTCTAGAGTATAGAGTATAGAGCTATGGTATCTTGTGCTGTGTGTTCTCATTCCTTTATTGTTCTGTAACTGGTGATGCAACCCTAACATTCCCCACTGAGGGACGAAAAAGGATCTTTTTTCTGTGTGAAGATGTGAATGCATACACAGAGGTAACGAGCACGGTTTGTCTTCTGCTGCTGCTGTGTTATCACCTTACCACAGTCTGGTGTAAACTACCCTGTTTTATTTTCACTTTTTGCACATAAACATTATTATTCAGATGAATATCTGATATACAATATACACATTATGTGTTTTATTTAAAATAAGAAAAAAACAAATGATTACATTGAGGAAAAATACTGATCATGTGCCATCGGAGAAATCTCCTTCCTGGGCTTCGTTTCTACTGTTAGAAACAAAATAGAACTAAACTCATGAAAGACTATTGAAATGAACAGAATCCTGATTTCAGCTTTTCTAAAATCACCTTGAGACACATTTCTGCGGTGACACTCTTGCCCTGGTGCTCCATCAGCAAAGGCTGTGTCCCTGAGACCACACTTCACTCGTCCCATCTCGTCTCAGCTCCTCTGAGCATTCTCACCGTCCAAATCAGACAAATTACATTCCTACAATTTCCCGTTGATTTGACAAACATTCAGCTCAATCGCCTGCATGTACGGCCATTATACCCAAAACACTACATTACATATCAATTTTGAAAACTATGCCCGTCTAAAGATTGCCAATTTGACTCACTTGCTGTACTTTTATGTATTTACTTTTAACAGAATACATCATGAAATGTACGTTGACTTTGTTTTTTATTCCTGTTACAACATTGTTCTTCATTGTGTTTCACTCTATCAGAAACTACTGGCACCAGCTGGTCCCCTCAGAGAACTCTGACCTGACATGTCGGGTTTTTCTGCCTTTTTAAACATATGTATTGTCCTCAAAATATATTCTGCTTCAAAATCTAACATGGTGCGAGCTAACTAGAATCATACTGTTGTAACACATGGGGAGTTGGAGCTAAAAACAACTGTTTGATTGTGGTTAAAAACTGGTTTCACAGTGACTCTAACCCAGGTTGGAGCTTCAGCACATGCTGTTAATACTTGATAAGGCCAGTGAAATCCTGGTGTTCGAGTGTGTTTGGCTACAGCAGCCTGTAACACTGTTAGGTCAGCTCCCATGTGCCCGCGCCTCCATCTCTCCCTGGACCATTGCATTTGCCCACAGTGCCTGTCCACTTACGGGCCGCGTGACGAGTGGACCTCACCACATATCACATTTGCTGCAGAGCAGAAGTCCCCCACACTCAGGCACAAGTGAAGGCTACAGTTCTACTTGTATAATATTTATACTCAATTGAGTGTTGGATTTCTATATGTTTTTAAGCAGTGTGTGGAAGGCCAAACCCCCTGCAAATTTCATTTATTTTTTTTTTTATTTATTCATCCATGTTCATGTTTTTTTCTTTACAAGATCATACATTAATATAACAGTACATGGTGAAAAGGAGCATGATGAAGACATTGTCTTATTGTCCATGCCCCTTTGTAATAGTTACAACAATAACAAAAAAACCGATGACCAAATCGGCGGGTGATCCGTTCAACAAATTTTGTGACACTCATGTATTACAAAAATCAATCATTGTAGCAATTTTCAACATACAAGTTATGTTTTTTTATATTTCTCCATCTGCATCTTCTTAAACATATTTTTAAAGGTATCTATTGTTTGAGAACATTTTAATGTGTCCTTTAATGCATTCCATAATCTTACCCCAGCAACCAAGAAACCCCTCTGTCTTAGTGAGATTCGGGAGAACGGTACACAAAAGTTTCCCCTTCGCCTTGTGTCGTCTGTGATCAAGGTCAATTTCTTGTAAATATGTTCTGGTACCAACTTGTGCTTAATTTTCCACATGGTCTGTAAAATGTTTAAATTAGCAAGATCTTTAAATTTTAATAGTTTCAGCTTCACAAAAAGGTCGTTAGTATGTTCTCTAGAGCCTTTATGACTTATAATTCTCACAGCCTTTTTTTGTAGCAAAAACATTCGATCTATTACACTTTTGCATGCGTTTCCCCAGACCTCGATACAATATGTAAAGTAAGGGACAATTAATGAAGAATATAAAAGAAATAAGGAAGTGGAAATGGAAATGGAAACTGTTGTCACATGCATGAAGTATTGGATTATGTTTGAACACTCCTCATTCTCACGTCTGCAGTCTTTAGAACAAAGCCTTGTATTTCATCCCAACTTTACACAATCATGGACATGTCGTTATAAAGGACATTTTATGGACAGATTTCAACCATGTCACAGAAGTGATGCTTCACAAAACAACTCATTTGAGCCCAATATCCATCCATTTTCTTCCCCTTAATCCATAACTGGGTTGGGGGTAACCCAGTACACAGAGCACCAGCCCCACACTGATCCTCCTGCAGGTGGTGAATCCTCAGGAGCCTTGATCTTTCAGTGGGGGCTTCAGGCAAAGTGGGGTTACGTGTGTTGCCCAAGGACACAACAACAGCAGACATTAGTGGGAGTCTTGAAGAAGGTCTCATGGTGGGCTTGAACCCACAACCTTCAGGCTCAAAGGCCAATGCTGTACCAACTTAGCCACTGTCGCCCCGTTTTAGCCCAATATGTCATGTTAAATCCAACAGGAAGAATTTAGGTAATTGCTTTTCTAAACAGATCTGATGCTGAGGATTCAAATCCAGAACTTAAAAGCTGAATGTGAATTGTATTTCCAGCTTTCCCAAAACCAGCATTTCTGGATGATTCAAAGGATAAAATACTATACAGTAAGTTACCTGTAAGGCCACGGGCCATGGTCTCTACAGAAGCACTGACTGCACTTTTACCTATTTATCCTGATCAACATCTGATAAGTTTCAATATGGATCTATTTTTCATTGATTGTGTTGTAGCTCAAGGCTCCTGTGGACTCACCACCTGCAGGAGGATCAGTGAGGAGCTGGTGCTATGTGTACTGGGTGCAGCTCTGACTGCCACCCCTCTGACCCAGAAATGGATTAAGGGGAAGAAAATGGATGGATGGATGGATGTGTTGCATTGCTCAGGCAAACAAGTACTTAATCAAGACAACAGTGATGAGTGTTTTTTCGTAACATCGCTTGTCCACTCTTAGATAAACTGCAAGCCAAGATTCAACTTGTAAATTGTATCAGAAAAACCTGATACAGTTTACACCTTGCTGGACTAGTGAGTATTTCAAATTACTAGATAATTACAAGGTTTTTATTTTGTATCTTATCTAGGCTGATCTTAAGATTGAATATATTTTTCTTCACTGTTTTGTGGTGTGTTTTAAATTTTGTATCATTTTTTGTAAAATGCATGTAGATATCCTACTCCATTCTCTTAATGCAAAATTAAACATAAATAAGAGTGACCTAGCAAACAAGGGAAAATGTGTATTAATGTATGTTATGTTTTGGTGTGGTGACATGATCTGTGTGCTCCTCCGGAAACACTTTGTCCACTTCCTGAATTGGCTCCGGGCTGAAGTCGCCTGATCTAGGTTCACGTTTTGGGCTGAGATCAAAGAACCTAAGATGTAACAACAGAAGGGCTCTGTTCAACCTGGTGATCGAACTTGCAACCGTTGTATCTGTGAGGCCCGACTGCAAGCCACAGAGCTGCACAGTCTCCACACGCCTGCCCTCTGTGCGCTGTCAGACGGGCTCTATCGCAGCGGGGCCCTCATGCTCCCTGACTTGTGACCCGCTTTCCCCTGTGGCCGGGGGCTTCGCAGAGCTGCAGTTTAGGCAAACATCTCTTCGGCTGTTATTTCCATTTGCGTCGGTGACTTGCAAGTGGGTATGGGTGGCCGCGCGCCTGCAAACCGCGGGACAAGCAGCCATGCTCGATCTGTGCGCTTATCCTGACGAGGAAATCTGAGGCCAGTTTGGGAGGGTCCAATGTGTACAAGGGACCCCCAGGCCGTCTGAGCAGAACAGAAACACATGTATAATACAATCAAACGTGAATGGGAAAAGTTCACTTCAATGCATACAGACATTTAGCTTTTGTTGCGATGGTGGTATCCGTGGCACCCATGGCTCATTATTAAACATAAGAACAGTTACAATCTAAACATTGATCTAGAATGCTGATAACGTATAAATGTAAAGAGAAAGTATTAGTTATTAGTATTCAATTTATCCCATACACATTATTTTGAGAATATTTATTTTGGCCCTTGACTCATGAGTACTTTTAGTAGAAAGCATATGAATAATTTTACAGATGTGTAAAACACTCCCATCTAATGTTAAAATGTTTATATTTATTTTTAAACAGACATAAAACGGTTTAATATATGAGGTCATAAATAGTGGATTCATAATTGTGTAACAGAAGCATTTAGACGGGAGGGTGGATATAATTTCTGAACGCTAATGGTTCCACATAGAAATGTCAACAATCCTGCAGAAATTCCCACCTTGCTTACTTACACAGTTGCTTACTTGTAGATCAAATGTAAACTTCTCCATTGTGAAATCAATAAAGTTCATCTATTCTTATGAAGAAGGTTATAAATCTACACATGAGTCAAACAAGAGGACAATACTTTGCATAAGCAGTAACGTGATAGAAGAGAAAGTAACGTCATTGTGAAAATTATGTTAAGTAAGTAAGTAATCTTTATTTATACACTGCCTTTCACAGACCAGAGTCACAAAGCAGTTTATAATTGTGGGCATTTGTTTCTCACTCTACACAGAGATGGCAGTAGGGTCGCCGGTACAGGAGGCGCATGCCAGACCTATTGTACATGTTTTTAGTGGTTTTCCGACCGGGATTTGAACCCAGGACCGTCTTGCTAAGAAGTGAAAGTGCTATCCACTCAGCCACTGTGCCCCCCATGTTTACTTTTTATTGTTCCATTGTTCTTCATCATCATGTGGATGATAAACTTTCCGTAGTCCATTATAATGAGATTCCCTTTGGTCTTGGATGCACTGAGATGCGACTTCAAAAACTTTGCAGCAACAAGCAGCACAGGTACAAACACACCAAATACATTTAAGAAGTCTTCACCAAGTATTTCATGGTGTGGATTTTTTGAAATTTTGACTTTTATTTTAGTTTTACCTCCTGTCGTATTCCCCGTATTAATTCAATTCAATTAAATTCTGATTCACTGGAATTAAATCATTATGAAATGAATTGTCTACCCCGCCCAAATGTGTTTCACCTGTGTCTGTCTGTGTCTACATGTCATTGTCTTTGTTTGTCTTTGTCGTCGGTTTCCTGATTACCGTTTCTGTTTGAATTTTCAGTTTGGACCTTGGACTTTGCTTTATCATCAGTAATTCTTATTTTTTTATTTTTGGGTCCTCCTTCATTTCCACACATGACAGTAAAGTTCATTTTACCTGCGTGCTTACATGCATTTGGGCTGTGCACCGATTGATGACTATGCTCAGATCAAATAGTTGATGATTTTTCCTAACGTATCATTTCGACACACTAAAATGAATACAACATAGTATTAGCACACAGGTGTTTCTCTTTTCATTTGCATTTTAATTGAACACCGCATCTGCCTACGTGGTCTTCATCCTGTTTGTGTATTTTGTTTTTCTGATTATCGCCGGCCGTCCTTCAGGGCTTCCGTGCAGCGCTCCCTCAGGCCTTTTCCACCCCCCTTTTGTTATGTATTTCCCCGCAAACTAATCAGCCCTAAATTACAAGCTCTGGAATCAATTGTAGATAAAACCTAGTGAGTGAGCGAGGATGGAGGAGGCCACTGGGATCTGCTGCTAACTCTGCCAGAGCTCTGAAGCTGGCTAATCCTGCGCATGCTAAAGTAATACAAAAAGAGGCAAGAGGGACCGCGGAGGACCCAGCCACCGCTGAGCTTCTCTGGGTGTGATTGGCACTTCTGGTGGCTCTGCTCTTCCAGGCAAAAGCTGTTTTCTATTTTGATTTCATTACAACTGTGTACATATGTTCCAACATGTTTTAAATGGATTACATCGGAGGTTGATGGTGTTTAATGGAGTAAAGACTAGAGAATAAATTAATTACAGACAAATTCCATTTATTTTTGTATAGTTTTAAATCACAACAGCAGTCGTCTCAAAGTTGTTGATTCCTTGACAATCAGTGTGAACACAATAAATTAACGATGACCATACATGTTAAAACATATCCATCAATGTCCCAGACATCACGGCCCTTGGACCATCCTGTAATGGCACAATACAGGAACACAACCCCAGAGATCTCCTTTTGCAGAGTCGAGCACCTTGTTTAGAGCTCTCCTTTCAACCACTTTTTTTTTTCTTTTACTCTATGGAGAGTAACTTAATTGGGAACAACATTTGGGACACTGAATTAGTCTAAACTATTTACAAACTCATACCCTACATATTTTGAACACCACGTAGACTCTACACTGTTGTTGTTGCTGGAAACGTTTTATGCATGGTCTGGGAGTGTCCGGTGGTCTCTCAGTTTTGGGAGATGGTGGCTGGTCCTCTGTCCGCTCTAACACCACGTCTGGTCCTCTGCTCTTGCATGGTGTACTGCTTTACCCTGGTCCTTCTTCTAAATGACTTCTCTCAGCGCGGACTGTACAGGGCGAATCAAAGCCCCTCACTTGCTGTTTCATCGACAGTCCAGTGAAAGTTCAAATACCAAAGAGAGTGCTGTCAGCGTGTGACAGTCAGTAAATAGTTAAACCTTCTAGAAGTTTTATTTTGTATTCTGCTGGTATTTGTTTTATGTCGTCCTGGACCTGTTTGAGGTGGTCTCTGATTTGTATTGTATTGATTTGTAACACATTTTTTTTATTGATACAAATACAGATTTCTTTATTTCTTATTATGTTTTTGGTTTTTGCTTGTGTGTGAGTGTGTGTGTCTTTAAAAAAAAAAAAACTATGGGCCTCACAATCGATTATCCCACCTTTCCCAAGATCCTTAATCCGGCTCTGCTTCTACAGAAACCATCAACCTATCTATAGCCCAGTGGGAACCCATGTGCGCATTGTCTTAATTACCCTGCCTAGGCCCCGCCGTCATCGGACGCACGCACCAGAGGAGACAGCACAATTAAGGGAAAGTGTTTAGCGCTTGAGATTATTTACCGGGACTGTCCAGCGAAGAAGGCCCACGGAGACACGCGTCCATCAGGGGAAGACAATTCAATTACAGGAGATGGCGAGGAGGGCGCCCGAGTGCACAGCAGCGCGCTGCTGCATCAGTGGGGGGACGCCAAAGCTGCTAGAAGTAAGGAAAATGAACTTTTCACAGCTTTTGACCGTGTTCAAGTAGTTTCCCCTCATTTACACACTCACAGTTGTCTTCAGAGTGATACATGCGTTAAAAAAAAAAATACAGCCTGCATGCTTGTAAGAATGAGCCCTATGAGTCACGTTTTGACTCTTTGAGCGGGCGGCACGGTGGCTGAGTGGATAGCACGCTCGCCTCTCAGCAAGAAGGTCCTGGGTTCGAATCCCGGTTGGACCAGGGCCTTTCTGAGTGGAGTTTGCATGTTCTCCCCATGTCTGCGTAGGTTTCCTCCGGGTGCTCCGGTTTCCCCTACCACTAAAAATATGTACAATAGGTATGGCATGTGCCTCCTGTACTGGCACCCCCACCCAATTGTAAACCGCTTTGAGACTCCGATGTGCAGTGAAAAGGCGGTATATAAATAAAGCTTACTTACTACTACTTACTACTTTGAGCTAAGAGCTTATTGGCTGGACTGAGATGGTAGTTTTTAGATTGGAACTACAGTACATGTTTGTGCCAGTGTCTGATATAAGATGAGATTAGATGCTTTCATCTTGAGACAAGGTTCATATGCTTTACACCACATACATTTGCACACAGACCAACATAGACACCATCCGAGACCTCTAGGACCTCAGGACAACAGTTAACTACAGGGCATCCAAACACAGAGCACCCCAAATATTTTGTTGCACTTACCCAAAGCCTAATGTGCAGTATGTTATTACACTTGTTCTAAGCCTCAAGTGCATTCTTAAGGCTTAGGCGTGGATGGATCTAAAACAACTCCACTAACGTTTGTAATAAAATAAAAAAGTTAAAGGATACATGTGTTATGAAATAGTGAAATAGTGTTATGAAACTGATTGTTCGCATGGAAACACTAAATAATAATTCTCAAAACGCAAAAAATATGTTTTTTTACGTTTATGTGCTCCCAGAATGATTGTACCCCCTCTGTCCCCTGCTGACCACATGGCTCGTACAATAGGCGCTCTGTCTGATGAGGTAACCCAGCCGCAGCAGCGATTAGGAGGCCCGCGCAGACATGCAAGGCTCGCACGGCTCTGCTCAGTGTTACCGCCGTGGCCCGGATCGCCCGCGCTAAACGCCCTGTGACAACAGCAAGATTAATGACCAGGCACCTGCTCCGCAAAGGCCAGCTGTAAGTGCTCTCATGTGCGCCCCCTGCTGTCCACATATGTAGCCCAGATGTGGGGGTCTGCCAGGAGAGGGTGGATCTGCAGACTAGGAGCTGTGCTGAGAGGGCCGCATTGAAAGAAGTTTGCAGTTGAGCTTGAAAGTTTACACAGCCATGAATGATAACGCAAACAGTGTTCTTCTCACTTACTGTTATTGGTTTTGTGAAGCCATTTATCGACAAATAAAGATGTTTTCCGTGTTCAAATGATGCCGATGGAAACTCCTCTTCTGACCCTGATGAGATGTCTCTAATCTCCATTTCAACATCTATCAATCACTATCATTACTATGCATACATTACTCATTTCTATCCAATGTAGATTAAAGTATTAGGAGACAAGTTTGGTTCATATTTTTTATTTATTGATATTAAGATAATGATGTGATATTATGCTTTAATAGTTGTTTTTTGCCTGAATCTATACGGCCATATACGGATGTAAGAGTTTTGAAATCTATGACCCCTACGTAGACGGGGCAGTCTGTTGGTCGACTACAGATCTAGTAGTTGTTATGGGGCTTTCAGACCGCCAACGCTGAAACGCGGAAGCCCCGCTCACCAGACGCGCATTCTCTAGTTTTCAGACGCAGGGGTCTTCACATCAGAACGTCCTGACGCGAGCCGGAAGTACCGGAAGCTCTAATGCTAACAGAGCTATGCTAGCGGCTTCTTGTGTACAGATCTTCTCCAATATGCAGCTTTGCAGCGTGTCTTTGCTCACAGACATTCCACGGGCTTTATACAACAGCAGTATGTGTTCACGGAGGTGCGGCATACGTTTTTTATATTATTAAACGGTATTTCCGCATCGGCGAACACACTCGAAGCAGTTGCATAAGGTCACGGGAGCATGACAACCCATATTTTCACAAGCACACAGTCCCCCATTGTCAACCCTGGTTTGAGTTCTGGTGAAGCCTGGTGTGGGTCCTGTTTTGGCTGTTTACGAGTATTTTCAGTCTGCTCGCTCGGTCCGCTAATGTCCCCGTGACCACTTTGCGGCTCTTTGATTGGTTGTCGCACGAACGTCCCAAGGAAAGGATGAGCAGAATCCATCTCCTGTGGGCGTCGATTTTTTGCTCGTGCTCCTCCCTTTTCACTTTCCCGCCAAGTCCGTGTGTCATTATTGAACAGTCCGTTCGTGCATGCCGAGAGGTCCGTGCGTTGTGACGGTCGAACGCGCGCCACCACAGACTTTGCATTGAAACCCGACGCAACGCATGATCCGGTCTGAAAGCACCATTAGACTCTTGTCAAATGTCACTTTTGAAGTGACATTGAAGTTGAATAAGTCATATGCAAAAACGGATATCTCCATTTTGAAATTGTGTCCAAATATTGTATCCCTCAAGTTACAATGTTCAACATGCTCTGTTAATGGCAGTACACAGAATTTGTGCAAGAAGGGGTGAAACTTTATTTGTATGGCACTAAAATAGATCTGGCTTTTCACAAAACCACTTGGTAAAAAGACAATTGTAAACTTTTCCGATATGGCACTGATCTGTTTTTGCATATAAACTATTCAAGTGTTTTTAACTATTAAGTTGGGGCGGGATTTCAATGCGTTATTCCTTTAACATGTTTTTGTTTTATACGTAATTGAGCGACTTTCGTCCCCAGCTCCAAAATGCTCATCTCTGATTGGTTGCCGCACGTCCATCTGGCCAAAACGTTTAGCAATATTCGTCCCTGTGTGTTTTGTTGGTTTAATGCGTTGCCGTACTCATTGCACCATTGACTTTGCATGTAAACCTGCCATACTGCTTGGTCTGGTGGGAACGGTGCTCACAAAGGGCCAAATGAGAACAGTCCTCGGATTGCAGCTCCAACTCTACAGAAACACGGCAGCTGACCTAGGCTGGTCAGCGCGTCCTCGCTCAGAGCTCTGTTCTGTGGATCATGTCAAAGACAATAGAGGCGTGCATGGAAAGTGTTAGCAGGCTGTCAGTACTACCAAGAGTGCTGGATCTGTCCTTTTTACAGACGCACACACTTATGGAAGCAATCTGAATTACAGATATGATATGTTTGGCAGAGTGGAAGCATCTATTATCTGGCAGATTTGTTTGGGTTTGCCTAAATAAACTAAAAGAGTGTTACTGCTTTTTTTCTAGCTTTTTAATCATTTCACACAGCGTAAAAAACGTGCCACGGTAAGTTTCATAAGCATTTACACACACCTGACATCTCTTCTATATGGCACAAAACTCATTCATTAAGGACAATTTTTCCTTGTCTTTATTTCTTGGAATCATGCAGGGGACCAGAATGACTGCTGGACACATTTCAAGTGACATTTTCTTTCATGTGGTTGATGGGGAAACTGCAGTCTTTTTTGTGTTTTTGTATATGCCATTGTGAACAGGAAGTCGATGTTAGGGCTGTGCCTAAAATCTTGAATTAGTATCTAAATTTTTGACCTGTGCATCAATTCAATGTATGCACAATGTATTTAAAACGTTAAACGCCTGTACTGCCTGTGCATGCAAGGACAAAGAAATTAGGTGTTTTATCAAGAAAAGGGGTGGGTTTGTTTCACGGGCAGGGGGGTGCGTTGGGTGCTGGCCCGTGCAATTGTCTGATGTTAAACAGGTCCATGGCACTAAAAAGGTTGGCGATCGCTGCTGTACGCTATCACACCCTCTGGCTGCATCAGGCCTGGCCACACCTCTGTTTGACAGCTGTGGGCGGGGCTTCAGTGCTACATTAGGTCATTCTCATCTCAAGCACATGTGTGAAGTAGGCATGTCCTCACTGTCAAAGTGTGAACATGAAGCATTGCAGAGGGGCGGAGCGTGTTGATAATAACAGCTTACAGCGGGCCATACATTTGACCCATTTTTGCTTTCTGGATTCACCACAATGAGTGTAGGAGCAGAGTCTGACTATAGGCTGAAACCACTGGGGATATCAGCTCTAATCATACACTGCTTATAGATCAACAAGGTTAACCCGCTGCTGGGCTACTTTTGGCTCAGTGAACCTAGGCTTCATTGAGCCAAAAAGTAGCCCAGCAACGCTCAAGGACAAATTTTGCTCCAATGTTTTCTGGCTCCTTTTGACTTACACTGAAAAGTATTCTACAACATTGGTCAACTGCTCCTATAGACCAATACCTGTGTGTTCTATTTATTTGTTTTTGAACTGTTTGATTCTCTGATCTGTGTTGGCGATTTCAACGGTTATGTTAAGTCCACTGAGATAACTACTGTTGTGATTTAGGGCTATGCAAAAATACTCTGAAAGAAACAGATCAAGCTCAGTAACCATGTGTGTCACACAATTTTATGTATTGATGCACTATGAGTTGCCTTGTGTATGAACTGTGCTATACACACAGTATACATGTAAACTTTCTACTTGAAACCCTGGCAATGTAAGCCAACTTTGCATGGGCTTTTTTGTGCAAAGGACAGAACCTGATATTTGGTCAGTGTGAAGCCTGTGGGATCGTTGTGACGTTCTCTAACAGACACTGAGATTTGAAACATGAAGTATACAATATGAAGCAATGTGAGATAGATTATCACTGTAGCAGACAGATGCATCGTATGTCTTCTTAAATTACAAAATCAGGTTAATTTGATTAAGAGAGGCGAGGAGATGTTGCAGAATACAACCTTCTGGCACAACCACCTATCCCTGCCCCTTCAGTCTAAAAGCTCATGTCTCAGTCTTGTGATGTCATTGTACCATTATGACATCACATTTATGCTTTAATCATGCAAAAATCAATGAGAATGAATGAAAAAAGAAGTGATTAAGTTTGAAAGCATCAAGGTTCACATTATATTTCCATTTGAACAATTTTTAAATTATTATAATAGGAACATATGGTTGCCCTTTTTCAATATGGAAAAACAGTTGTTTTTTTAGTATATAAACTATACAATACAAATATTGAAAAAGAGTGAGAAATATAGCAAAATCAATAAGTCAGCAGACGTCTGGATATTTGATTCGTTTTCATCTCTCCCAGGCAGGATTCCCACATTATCAGGGGGTTATGGGGTGCCCTGCCCTCAGCCCCAATCTCCCCCCACCACCGCGGTAACGCATTCAATGGCCGCGGGCAAAGAAGAAGGACCCGCCGCATACTGATGATGAGAGCGCGGGCAGGGGCCGGTAATTGGAGAGCCGGGAGAAGATGGCTTTGTCTGGGCATGGGCTTGTGTGAGATCCCCCCTTTTTCACCATGAGAGCTCCAGCCGGGGTCCAAGCAGGCAGAAGCGAAGGCAGAAACGAAGGCAGAAGCATAGGCAGTAGCAAAGGCAGGCGCTCAGGGGATGAATGGGGATGTGTGCTAATTGGTATCTTAATGCTAGATACAAGAGATTTCCATTTGCCTGTTGAAGCTAATGTGTAGCAAGTGTGTGTGAGCAGTAGGTGTGAAGTACTTTAAAGGAGACATCTTATGCAAACTGGACATAATATGAACAAATGAAAATCGATAGAAGAGCTGTTTTAAGACAAGACAATAGCACAATTCATACACAAGACAACTCAACGACAGAAAAACGAACCACAAAAGACATCGAACTCATGAATATTTATAGTTAAAGATAAAATCCCTCAGTTAAATGCACAGCTAAACAGAACTGTTTTTACCCGGTTTCAAACATTGTAAGTAAGTAAGTAAGTTTTTATTTATATACCGCCTTTTCACTGCAGATCTGAGTCTCAAAGCGGTTTACAATTGTTAATTATGGGCATTTGTCTCTCACTCCACACAGAGATGGGAGCGGGGCCAGTACAGGAGGCGCATGCCAGAACTATAGGACATATTTTTAGTGGTAGGGGAAACCGGAGTACCCGGAGGAAACCTACGCAGACACGGGGAGAACATGCAAACTCCACTCAGAAAGGCCCTGGTCCGACCGGGATTCGAACCCAGGACCTTCTTGCTGAGAGGCGAGAGTCCTATCCACTCAGCCACCGTGCCGCCCACATTGTCAGAGAAGA